GTGTTTGGTTGTAAAAAATTCCTAGCAAACACATAATTGCAGGCTGAAGCTATGGTAATTAAACCGTTAGAGAATGGATCTACTCCTTCTTTATCCTTACCATCGTTAAGCGTGGTAACTTGCTTAAAAATATGTCTAAACGATAAACAACATCGCCTTAAAATGTCTACATCACTTATGCAGTAATCAATGAGTTCTTGTCTGAGGTTAAATACTTCGTTTTTTTTCTGATTGTACCAAGCGAGAAAATCACCCCTGGCCGATTCTGACATCTTATCGGGATCGTACATAGATACATCGGGGTAAGAGCCCACATAATCTTTATTTTCGATCCTATTGAACCTATGGGGAAAGTAGCCCTTCTTTAATTCTTTGATACCGAACGTTTTAGGTAATTTTGATAGGGGCATAGGAAGGAAAGAAAGCGAATCAATAAATCGAATCGATGTATCCTTAACTTTGATCGAAATTAATTTTCCGCCCCTAGAAACAACTTCCGGAATAACACCGTAAGAGTGTAATTATTGCATGATAAAGTAACTATCGTACCCTTGGAAGTTATGAGCAATACATGTAACATTTTGGTTATACGGATACTGTTTAAATAAGTATTCGCAAAATTGATAGCATGAATCCTCGCCGTAGAAAATTTTGGTTTTAACCCCGCAAATTTCGCATTGATCAGAATCTTTATCATTGTTAATACAATTTAGGCAGCTTTTTTGAAGGACGCATAAGTTAGGATGGTGAACCCCTGTTTCTTGAGTACATTCAAAATCGAAAAAGAAATATTTTTCTATAGTCTTCTTATCTACCTTGTTAGTTTTGTTAGTTTTCTTTTCAACCACCTTTTTCATGTAACAGAGATGACCCGTCTCTACCGTCGTCATACAAACTCTACATACATATTCACTGCATTTATGACCCTTTTTAATATAGCGATTACAGGTTTTACAAAGTTTCTTTGAATCGCAAAGGGTTACTCTACCTTGTTTAGCGGTTCTATGGTTATCAAAGCATTTTTGATTTTTAAATGAACGTAAGCAATCATTACATTTGACGACGGTAGAGGGGTCTATAGAAGGAATGCACTCGTGTGAGAGGCATAACTCGCACACAAACTTACAATTATGATAAAATTTGTTATTATAACCCTTAAAACAGAGGTTACAAAAAAATTTGACTTCAAAAAAGGCTGTTAGTTTTGTTATTAAATCGTAATTATTATCGTGATGGAATAAATAAATCTGTTTTTCTCTATGTTCACCACTAAAAATTACCGAGTGAAGATTGTCTCGAGAAATCACAATGATTTGATATTCGGGCAGGACATCCTGAAAACGTTTAAGCTCACTTATCCCACAAACTCCCTTATCTACACCAGCCCTTAGTAATAATTGTTCAGCCTCATGTTCCTGATAATATCTACCCTGTCTAATGTTTTCCCATCTAGATTTATTATTAATTTTGTCTTCTAACATCGAAATACCCGTAACAATGGCTTTAGAGCAGCAAACGTTTTCATCGTTTTCGTCTTTAATTCGAATCAAACATCGGGAACCCCCCACAGCTTTATCTAAACCCTTCTTAAAATGATTACCACCACCAATAGGCATAGGAATATGTAAAATATTAAATTGTAAATCGTCCCCCACTAAAATGTTCATGTGAGACTGAAGGACTTTAGAAATAGCCGCAAAAATTATTTCAGGAGTAATTCGTTCCCTCATCATAAATGGTAAGGAAATTGGGACATCTAATCCATTCGCTCTAATAACGAACCTGACCATATCATGCGGTTGAACATTTACCAAAATACTATCTAAAACAAAATCAAGAATTCTATCAAGCAAAGGCAAAATTTCAATAACTCTCACATCATCTAAACCTATTAATGAAATCAAATGATCGCTCGCAAACATGTTAAATTTTTTATTAAATTTATCATTTAATTTCCGAATAACGCATAGCTCTCTTACATCCATTTCGTTGAAATCCTTTTCATCGTCCTCGTCACTATCCTCAGTATCTCGCATTCTCTTAGCACCGCGATCAGGCTGAAAAACAAGAAAAAAAAATTAAATACAAAAAAAAAAAAAAAAAAAAAAAAAAAAAAAAAAAAAAAAAAAAAAAAAAAAAAAAAAAAAAAAAAAATCAATTTTTAACATCAGTACAAATAAGGCAAAGCAGAAACTTAGCTTACCAAATTTTTAGCGTGTTTCCCAGATCCGTATTGAACTATAACGTCTTCATCGTCGGGGTAGTTTTCATCGTCTTCCTGTTCACTTTCATACACCATCTTCTTATGTTGACCTAGACCATGTTGCCGTCTCATGTCATTATTATCATCTTCGCTTTCTACGTCTTCCTCCTCATCATTATCTTCAAACATCATTTTCTTAAATTTACCTTGACTGTGCTGTCGTCTCGCGTTGTAATTATCTTCTTTATTTATTAATTTACTATGTTTTCCTAAACCTAAACGTCCATGTCTCTGAATTTCAAATAAATTCACACGCAATGCGAATGTCATCATCAGAATCATTGTCTTCCTTTTCTTCATCAAAATCGTTAAAAAAGTCAAACTGAAATAACATGAAAAAAAAAACACAAATTAATAATAATTAAAAAAAAAATAAAAAAAAAATTATTGGAAGCTTTATTATTTGTTTCACGGAGAAGCAATCAAAGTTGATCAAATCGCAAACCCACGATGACGAATGTAAACATTCTCTTCTGAGTGTGAAGCGGGGCTTGAGAATTACACCTGGAAGGACCTAGCTCGTTGATGACCATTCCTCAAGAACTTCGGTTTTGGAAGGAGGGAGAGAATGCAATCTGAGTGGATGCGAAAACAAATTTTACTTACCAATTCATCTTCATAAAATTCGTTATCTAACTGTTCTTCTACAGCTTCTTCGGTTATTCTAATCAAATCGGTTGAAAATTAAACTGAAAAAAAAAACATTCTGTTCAGGATTTAAAAAAAAAACAAGAAACAAAAACTAACAAATTTAAAAGGAAATGAAAACTAATTGATAACTTACGAGTTCATCCACATCATTTGCCATCGCTAATAGAAAACCCCCGTTAACATCGAGATCCCAGTTAGAAAGGTCTTGTTCATCGGCAAAATTTCTGTTCATCATCTTCTTGGATAGTTATTCGTAGAGTAACACTAAAGTTTATGTAGTTGAATCTAATTTAATGTTCTTAGCCTATTTTTTTTTTCTAAATGTATACACTTTGGAAAATAAAGGAATTACGTAATGTCAAAAGCTCACCAGCGGTCACTGACACATCTTAGCCAATAGAAACCGTTCTTTACATAAGCCAATAGAAATCGTCCTTTCCACGCCACGTCACCAAATCTCATTCACCCGGGCAATTTAAACTATAGTCACCAAATTTACAGTCACTAATCTGTCACTGATAATCCCCTAACCTAGCCCTTTTGTTTTCAAATTCAATACCCTCATTAATTTAATGGGCAAGAAGATTCTTTTGTGACTGTAAATCCAGCAACTGTAAATCCAGCTGGCAGACTTATCTCCCTATTGTCTCAATTTTCACTCTCATTGTAACCAATTTCTAAAGAGCACACAATAGTGGACTATAAATTTTAAGGAAATATGACAAACTTAACAGGTCACGCTACACATCGCCACTTAATTAATACCTCTTTTTGTTTTTAATATTTCAATAAACCCTCATATACCCCCTTCATATGCTTCAACCCATTATGTACAAAATAAAATTATTAATAAATAATTATGAATTATGATGACGTAATATTCTATTGTGCACCATGCCAATGGCATTGACATTCACATTGATGTTGGCAGTGGCAATATACAGTACCACTGATATTGACGTTGACAATATTGACTTTTGGGTAATGCAATGCTGAATCTGAATCAATACTGACAGAGGACCCACTAGGGTATATGCAAGTATTATAGGTGTTAATAATTATAAGATTTATTTATTAAAAGTATATCTGACTGGTAAATGACATTGACCTTAAGATTGAAAATGATTTTGATAATAATAGTAATAATCATTAGAATGATAAATAATTATAATAATTATTAGGCCTATATTAACAATAGCAATATTTTAGTAAACAGCAGGGGCGGATCCAGAAGGGGAACGTGCCCCCCTCCCACCCTACGTTTTAACACCATTTTTGCATATTTCAATGTATATCAGTGACATGTGTTACTAATTTATCTATTTTGAAACTGTTGTGCTCCCCACCCCCACCCCCGCCTTTTGAAAAATTCTGGATCCGCACCTGAACAGTAATAAACCTCTGTTATATAAAATGCGCATTATATTAGTAAATCTACACCAAATATAAGTCTTGATAGATTCATATTTTTAGATCAGCGGTAGAAACATTTAATAATAACCGGTAATTATTTTATTATATTAATATATTAGGTGATTGTGCGTTGCCGGATGATAGCGTGTGACTCTGAAAACTCGGCCGACTGTGATAAACTGCAAACTGCTAGGAAATCATGCGGACCACCAAAAGGATAAGCTTGGATAGCACCAGACCCCAGGTTTTTCTGCCCACCAAGTCACACAAATGTATGTCGTATCAATGAAGCAAAAATATAAAGGAAATCTTTATTGGCCGACTCTCCACATAGGAAATAGGCCTAAGCGTACAAAGCTCAGGAATTTGAAGAAACCCATGGTTATACACTAAATTCAGTTTCCAGCCATTTATTTGTGCATACGTCATAGATATCTTATTCCCACTATACATATATAGTTTAATACATTACTACAACTGGTTGTTTCTGTTTCATTTTTTTTAAGTGCTATTATGCTTATCACAAACTTCGTTTGAGTTAATAGAACACATTTCTAAATCTCTAATTAAACTGGCCACATACCATTTCAACATGAACATTTGGAAGATTGTTAAAGTTCGACAATGTATACATTACTTCTATAATATTAAACAAATATAGGCCTATCCTTGTGTTTTTGTGAGAAAAATATAATCTATTTCGTTGTTCAAGCATCCATCTTTTTTACTGTACACTGTTGTAAGATATTATGGTGACATGAAGAGAACAGAGCTATATACGATAAAATGATGATAATGAAAAAGATGGTTAATAATTCTGATGGTGAGGGTAATGATGATGAGGATGATAATGTTGCTGCAGATGATGATGACGATTATGATGATGATGATGCTGATAAGCCGGAGGAGGATGATGATGTTGACAATTTAGCGGTTAAGGCAGGGGCACCGTAATCATAGCCAACAATATCGACATGGGTTCGCGGTCGGCTAGCTCCTAGATTTGGTGGTGGAACAAGTCTTCTCGGATAAGGATTATAAACCGTGGACCCAGTGTACACAAATGCTCATGTGCACTTTAAAGAACCCAGTATCTTTCGAGACAAGTAGGGGGTTACCCCGGTGTACTGGTTCAATGTTGCAGATGAAAAGTGCGCCGGTTTGCTGGCTGCAGCGGACATGAAGTGACCCTCAGGGGAGGAGAAAAGTATTGAAAAGTGCAACATCTAGTCCAAAGCTCCTTTGATAAATCTTTGAATTGGCGCATTATCAATATTTGTTGTTGTTATTATTATTATTATTATTATTATTATTATTATTAGTACAATTAGGTTGATGATGATGGTGATGAATACGATGATGATGAGAATGATGAAGAGAAAGACAGTTGTGGTGGTGGTGGTGGTGGTGGTGGTGGTGGTGATGATGATGATGGTGGTGGTGCTAAGGATAATGACGATTAAATGATGAAAAAGATGACGGTGATGGTGTTGATGATGGTGAGGATAATGAAGATGATTATGATGGTAATAATAATTATGGTGATCATAATGAATTTCACGACGATGTTTGACCATTTACATGTCAACATGAATTCTATTTAACTCGTTTATGTCAAAAGTCGCCTAAAAAATACAAGTCGTTGGTAGCTGAGGTGTTCGTCATCAATCCCAGAATTAAGAATTAAAATTCCACTATCGTCAAAATGACTCTTGAACCTGATTAGTCGGTTTCATTTTATAATAGGTAAGTATAACATGTTTTGTCATCCCCAATTTTCGGTTAATCAATATTATTTGTTGTCGTAAAGATGAAGCCTGCAGCGGTCATTTATCTCTATCTTTACCTTCTCCACTCTTGCTATAGGAATTTGCAGGCCAATTTTGTTTAGCACCACAATTACTTACTCTATCATTCTTGGCAGTCTCGAATACCATGATACACTAGAGCCATTGATTTATGCTTTGTAAAATGATAATTGTTGAAATATATAATGAATAAATGATGAAAAGTTTTCCGCAACAAATTCAATTCAATGAAATAGACCTTCATAATTTGCATATTATCGGCATTTATTTTCAAGAATTTAAATATAAATCAAACGGTTCTTTTACTTACTATAGCCGGTTTCACGTTCATATAATTTCAAACAACAATTCAAAGTTATAACATAGGTCATTAAGATAATTGCACGGTTTATTCGCTAACTTCGTCAGTCTATTGTCAGTGCATGTAAATATTATCAATTAATAAAATGTTCTCCAGGTATTATTTCAATTTATCAAAAATCCTCAAAACAGAATTTGCAGTAGTGTATCTGGTGTGTAGAATAGTAGAATGGAAGCGAGATGTGTGCTAATCGCATTGTGACTTGGACGTCTAGCCCTTGCGTGCAGGACAATTTCTACTCTTACTCTTCAGTTCCTCGCATTCAGATGCGTTCTTGCTGTCACAAGCAATCATTCGACACCGTACAATTACCTACATACGTATACAAAATACAGTTAGTCAATAAAATTAACAAAAGAAAAGTAAATAGGTAAATAGTTGGCTACAAAATAGGTTATATGGCTAAATAATTTTCAAAATGAAGAGAAGATTAATTTAATTTGATTACATAAATGTATTCAACTTTGCTTCTCCTGATGTAATCTTCAATCGAACATATTACTTAAATGGTTGGTTGCATTATTTGATGATAATGTAACATACATTCCAGAGAATGTATGGACAAATAAGTGACAGAAAATTATTATAAATAACAAATATATAAATAAATATAGATAAGCATAATACAACATGAAAATATTTCTTACATTGTGGTCTAATCCTTTCTGGATCATTCCAAATGACGTGATGCTAAATCTCTTTTGGCTTCCAGATCCACTGATTCTCACAGTTGGATCAACGGGGCAACTGTTAAGTACAACAGAAATGTTATTGTTTTTTTACAATACGAACTCCGGTTAATATGCTGATAAAAATATTTCTGGTGTATTCTGTACTATATATAACGTTGAATTGATGATTTTACTGAACGGTTTCTAGTAAAACTATACGCAGTGTGGCAATCATTATTGTCAGTAGAATATATAGTACCTAAATTTTGCTATAGAACTGTTATAAAGTATGGTATGCTTTGTTGTGATATAAATCTGATGTGAAGTTTTTAGAAACTTAAAAAAAGAAAATACAAAACATAAAAATATGACTTATTGTACCAACAATTCATGGATGGCTTGTTTTTGGAAGACAATTAGATGTGTATAAGAGACCGGTAATAAACCTCTGTTATATAATGCGCATTTTATATAACAGAGGTTTATTACTGTTCAGGTGCGGATCCAGAATTTTTCAAAAGGCGGGGGTGGGGGTGGGGAGCACAACAGTTTCAAAATAGATAACAAAGGTAGGAGAGTTTTTGCAAAGTTAATAAAAGGCATTTTGTAATGGTGTCACACCGTTACCTATTATTAAGCATATGACTGAGCCTTACCTTCGACTTGGTTCCACATTCATCAAAAAATGTTGTGACTGACATGAATTTGGAATTTCGGCTCTTGGCAGTGCAGCTGGGATCATGGAGATGTAGAAGTTCTGGTGCCATGTCATCTACATACTTGTGTGGAACATGGAAAGTCATGCTGTAATCACCACAGTCGACGTATGGTTCTGGTGGAGGTGCTATAAATAATAATTTACAAAATATCAGCATTTGTATTATTATCAAAGACAAGTTGTGGCTCTATCATGACTTAATATTTCAAATCAGTAATAATTACGTCTCCCCCTCCCTCAATTTCAAGGATGCCGAAAAGATTGCAGCCTTGCCCTGTCAGCTAAACTGACTGTAGTGTGTGTGCAAAACTGGACCAATAGTTGGGACCTGTATTAATTGCTGCTCTAATCTGTTCGTATTACAGCTTAATTGCTGATATACAAGTAACAATAGCACATCAACTTTCGCATGATACGTTTAAGCCGTTGGTTGGATCTGCACATCAAAGAATGCAGAACACCCTTCGGATACATAATGAGTAGGCGATACAATTGTCTCCCGGTACTGCCCCAGTTCGACACAAGAAGTAACACACTAATACAAGTCTCCTGACTTAGATGGTTATCCTAGGTATGTTTCTCTTCACAAATATCCTATCCTATCTTTCTGTCAAAAAAGTTTCGTCAGTAGATGTGGACTTTCGTCTGAAACTTCCTCCAACCCACTGTAGCTTAAATGTCCCATCAATTTGTATCACCAAATAAACGGTAAGAATTGGTAAAGATATTTAAATTTCGACAGACGTAAGAGAATAAATGCAACCATTTTAAAGAATTACTTAATGAGCGTTGCGAACATAAACTTTTAACAATATTAGAATCGAAAATATATTAATTTCGAATTTGAAATTAAAGAAAAATTGTAAGTTTGACATACGAGATTTGAATCCCCAGCTGGTAGGTGGATTAGGCTTCATGGCTACTCCGCCTACAAGATTGTTCATTTCGCTTCGACATGGCTGAGCGTTGACTGCCATTACTACGCCTGGACCAAGTTCAAGAGTAAATTTCATTCCATCTTCTATTCCTGCCGGTTTGTCGAAACGAAGAATAGTCGGATCATCTGATGGGAACTCTACCTGACCTGCTTTCGAGGCATCGTATTTAGCCAATAGCTTTTTGCTTGGAAGCTCAAGTATCTTAATGAAGGCGGATTCTGTTGGACGAACAATCTGAAAGCAAATTATATTATTGGTGAATTTTAACGAAATAATGTTTAAGTAGGCCATATATAACAAGAAAATAAGAAGTGTCAGATACCAACGAGTACTTATTCACATTAGTCCTATTATATAACATTTTAACTTGTTAATATCAAAGTAACATTCTCTTTTTAGACCTACAAAACTTTGCAGAAGCGCTCGTTGGTATTTTTTTAGCACTGGTTACTTTTTTACACATGTTGAACACCACGTCAAAATATTCTCCAATTTCCCAACGAATAACTAGAGTTTAAATTCAAGTTAAATATCGTGTTTTTATTAAAATACTAGTGATTTTTCGCTCTTTTTTGGGAAAGGGGACTTGAGGTTTCTTGGTAACATATTATTCCGAATCTATACTTCAGAAAGGACTAATAAGAGTTGAATGCTGAATATTAAAAGCAGTAGGCCAGTGATACCATAGAAATTCCAATTCTCCCAACTTAATCCTTTGTTTATCTAGAAAGATATTTTTTCAGAGAGTAGTTTAAGCACTCAGACCTGTGTGCTTATGTGCATTTATAAACAAGTATAAATTGCTGCCCTGACATGGTGTAGAGAGAGGCTGTCACCATTACATGCAGACGAATATAAATTGCTGCCATGGCACTGTGAATAGGAAAAATGAATAATGAAACATAAACAGTGACATTATTACCTTCTTGTTGAACTTGATATGCCATACCCTTTCTTTAGCAGTCTCAAAGTCTGGCGAGGGGATCGATTCATCTGGAATTGCTTGCGGTGGTGGTTTAGGCTTGCATTCGGCAGTCATAAATGGGAACATCGCGCCTGCATTTTCGGTAGCTGCTGGGGCGTTACCGCATGGATCTGGTTTGTAAACAATGGCTGTACCAGCGTCAACTTCAACCATATACGTCACGCCATCTTTGAGCTTATCAATTGGAGGATTAAACTCAATTCTGGCACTTGTTCTACCATCCAAGAAAGTAACTTCTCTTTTATCCGCAACGTTGAATTTGGCCAGTTCCTTCATTTTAGATCCCTGTTGGTACCTAACGCGGACGTAAGCTGGTTTGCGTGGCCGAGCCACCTTTGTTTGAAAAAAAGTAAACACAATTTAGCACAATGATGAAATATTCTACAGATAAACATATTTGAAGCAATTGTATTCAAAATACCGTATTACTAAATATGATGTGTGCATCTATCATAACGTAGCTTCTTATTAAGGTAATGTGTATTAGGTCTATTATTGGGGTCATGGATTGAGGTAGAAACATTTATAATCGCTGGTATTTATAAACGATTTTAAGTTTATTTTTAAGTTAAGTATATAT